ATTCAAACCAAGTATTAAATTAAAAATGCGGATTTATTGTTTTGTACGAATACTTTTTTCACCCTCAAAAGTGAACATGTTGCATTGTTTTTTGTTGCATTGAGATTTAATTTCTTTTGATAGTATTTTTTGAATACTATGCGTCTCTATACATAATTTAAATCACTTTTCCTGTTAAGTTTGTGTACTTACATACGAAATACGATTTTTCAAGTGTACGAATATTTATTTCCCCCCACTGTAAGTGCACTTATTTTTTATTTAATAAGGTGAGCTATACCTTGGAATATAATTGCTATATTGAATATCGTAATTATTCAGAGCGTTATTTTAGAGTAATCACGGTTTAACCTTTTGCGTTTCTTCTCCCAGTATAATCATCAAACCTTCAAGTCTCGGCCCAATGAGCTGACCTGGACTCTATTCTTTTTCGGTTGAATAACGTCCCCGGAAATAAATACCTGTGCGTTGAGAACTAAAATAAATCTGCTTCAACGTAATTTGTCATTAATTGTTCAATCCTTAAAGACTTATTTCGATAAATTTCTAGAAGAGGGTTTCCTCTGGAATAGGGAGAAAATTCCTTCAATTTTTTGGATGCTACACGAATGATGTTGCACGTGATAAAAAAATGATCGAACAATGAAATGATTAATAATGACTTACGTAGTAAATTAACTCGGAAAATTTACAATGAACGTCAAGTATTTATGTCTGGAGACGGGTTGTTATTCGTTAGGTAGTTTGAAGTAAAATGTAATCCTAGTTTTACAAGCACCAAAAAACTTGTGAATAAAAAACAAAAAATTAATAAAAAGCAAGAACTTGACAAAACTTTATTAAATTCACTAATTTGTTGCCTCTTTGTAACTTAAAAAATAAAATTTCAATGACTGAATTCAATCGGGTCGATTCTCTGGTACATGACTGAAGCTTTATGCTATTATTTTCCTATTTATGCTGCATCTTTATGCTTCCATTTCGCAATTTATGCCAGATCTTTGGTTTTATTTTCTTCATTATGCTACAGCTCTGTGCTCCTTTTTCATTAGTTATGCTAGAACTTCATGTTTTTATTTTCTTATTGATGCTAGAGCTTCGTTTTTACATGAAAAATCGCCTCTTTGACGTATTTAAAGCGAGTCATGTGTCTACGAATTTAGTGTCTATCCGCAGATAACGGAGGCCATGGCATCAGAACGGCAGGCTGTGTTGGCAAGAAAACCAGTTGTGATGAGTAAGGTTTTATTCACATTGTATTCCGTCAAAGAACAGACCGGCATGTAGAAGTGGTCACAGTTGTTAACTAAATAGGAATAGCTGCGTGCATCAGTTTTAGCTGCTCAAGTTAAGGATAAATCAAGAAAGAAAGAAATACAGATAAAAATAACGCTGATAGTTCTTAAGATAAGTCTTATTGGAACAATGTGAAGTAATTAATATATAAAAAGAATAGCTACGCATGTGTGAAGAACCTGGAAGTTTAAAAGCGGCTGAGAATAGCCGCGACGCTCAGTGCAGGTCATAAAGTGACCTACCCGCTTTGTGGTTCAACCCTGAAAGACCGCAAGTCTTTCTTATATAAATAAGTCTACAAACATTCGCAAGCGCATTGAGAGAATAGGAAACAGTCTATGAGCAAACGTACTAAGCTTAATGTGACAATCGTACGAAACTTTGACATGAAATTATAGCAGGGTTTTAAGACGTAGAAGAAAGACACAAAACTACAGTCAAAGAAACGAAGCGAGTTTCTTAGTGAAAGTAAAGTTACAGGTTGAGCGCGTCTGATTATGAAATAAATTCATACTGCAGAGAAATCATCAACCTTTCATCAGTTGAATAGTAAATCAAACTAGCCATTCAAGACATGGAAAATAAATTATAATCAGAGTTGAACTGATGATTGCCTTCAACAATTTTTATCATTCTCCTACTGCTCAATAATGATAGTGTGACATTTGATCGCAGATGTTACAAGAAACAAATGCATTGAATAACTGTTTATACAGTCTTCGATCACATTACTAATAATAACGTTGCACATCACTGCTGGTTTATTAACAAAAAATTATACTTCAGTCACGTAGACCTCAAGGATTGGTATCTGAAAACTACGATTTTTGATTCTACAATACGCGACGAAAATCGGTCAACGGTAATGAAAACTTTTTATTTTACAGCGAGTCTCTCTTCATCAAATCTTAGCATCAAGGGTCGAGGTCAGACTCTTTAAAGGGGATATAATATAGCTTTCTTGAGCATACATTAAATTTGATGAAATGAATAGAGTTGCCAGGCTAAATGAGACATAGCAATAGCAACAAATTGACACACGAAACATAACTTTACGTAAACATTATCGGGACTCACACTCACCCAACCTCCGACAATCCAAATACAACGTCACATCGATACGAATATACATTCGAATAATATACAGTTGAATTTTGATATTCAAATCTTGATAGCCAGTAATTGGCCAATATTTCTTGTACAATCGCTGAAAAATTAAAACAATTAGAGCAATAAACTATTAAATCAACTCATAAAATGAATGGGTCATATTTTACAAATAGTGAAAAACTTTCTTGCCCAAAGCCCGAGCAGAGAGTGATCGTAGCACTGATACGCGTTTTTTTCGGGTCAAACTGGGTCAGGCTGACTCACACACAGGTAAAATGTGCATCGCTATTTGGACGAAATCTCAATCATTTCTCTGAGTGTAGAAAACCGATAATTGCGTCAAAAACAAATATTTCTAAAAATCTCGATGGTTTCTCTACCTAATTGCAAACACCAAAAAAATGTTAGACCAGAATCTTTCATTTTTACAACAATAATTCCCTTTGAAGATGAATCAGTTAGCAACGACGTGTGCAAAACTTGAACATTTTTCTCGCATGAACGATTGCTTTCGTCGTTAACAAGTTTTTGCCTAACAAAATCTTCACTATAGATTCGGATTACGAACAATTTCGATTCAATTGAATTTTATGTTCAAACTCTGAAGCGCTGTTGGTGACTGCGAGGTAAGCGACCGCTGCAATCGCAATGCAAATTCTATTCCGTCAACGCCATTTTTCAGTGAAGCAAAGCATTAGGAATCTTCGTATTCATGTTGTCATAGAACTCGTCTGTTTGGAAGACTGTCATTTGGCACACGTCCCGTATACGAGTAACATTCATACGGCCGCATCTCAACATTGGCAACATTCATACGGCTGTACGTCAACATTGGCGACATTTATACGGCTGCACGTCATCATTGGTAACATTTATACGGCTACACCACCACAAAATGAGCAACATTTATACATCTCAACATGAGTAACATTATAATATTTTGAAATAGGTGGCCACTTCGACATATTTATGCCCTTGCTGGGAATGCGTTATGCCCTTGTTGGGAATGCGTTATGCCCTTGCTGGGAATGCGTTATACCCTTGCTGGGAATGCGTTATGCCCTTGCTGGGAATGCGTTATGCCCTTGCTGGGAATGCGTTATACCCTTGCTGGGAATGCGTTATGCCCTTGCTAGGAATGCGTCATGCCCTTGCTGGGAGTGCATGACACTGATTGCATCACAGCTCAGGAATATCTAAAACACGAATTTTCTTTCATGAACTAATAAAGGAAATCTCTCTTCACATTAACACTTTTATTATAGGCTAATTCTTAATTCACAAAGTAACTAGACAATAATTTTAATATTAGTCAATTATTATATAAACGGGGATTCAGAATAAGTTTCACTGGTTTATAGCCATCCTTTAGCCACGTACACTATAAATGTTCAGTAAACGTGGTCATATTTATATCATAAATAACATGGTTTTCAATCATAAAATCATAAGCATTTCTCGGTAGAAGTCATATCTTATTAACCTCAGGGAGGGACAACAAATAAATAATATATTTAAAATGATGTTCATCTTGAAATCCAGTACGAAATGAAGGTTGTATATATAAAATAATGATTTTATTTTGCCTAATTTGCGTGGCTATAGAGAAGAATCAGTTAGGTTTTAAAATATGAGAGCTATCAAGCTGCAACTCTTTACAAACGTAGAACGTATCCGAAAAAATTATGTAGAAAACATTTATGTAATTCGGAGTTTTCGCTTAGCAATACCTGAAGCAAGGTACAAAATTTCATTATAACAGACCTGTCTAAATCATTGTAATTTCTTAACTTGATGGGTAAAAAATATGACGTTTATTTTCCAGTAGAAGCAATGATTTAAAAAAGACAAAACTCCCTGTATAAGAGAACAGAGGGCTTGTTAAAAGGCTTTCACCAGCTACACTCATCTTACATTAAGGGGAATATTACACACAGATAATTGCACTCTACATATAAGTTAAAAATTTAACCCCCAAGTTGATGTGAATCAACCTTAAAGCCGAAATATATTCTCTTAAAAATTTATAAAGCAATAACTACTCTGATATATCACCTACACGAACATCAATAGATCCAATTATACTTTAATATAATCTATATTTAATATTAAAATTTATTGACGCGAGGAAACAGGCCTTCAGAGATGCAATAAGTGGTTACTCAAGTCTCGAGTTTGTGAGCATTGAAATTACAGGAAAATAAATATTTTAGAGAATAATAAAGAGAGAATGCATGTATGACAGAAGTGGAAGCGATACGCCAAGCGAAAGACGAAACTGAACCGAACCACTTGAAAAACGAACCCGGGTTCAGCGGTCTAACCCTGCCCAACGGTTCAAATTAAGCGGCTTTGGAAGTACGGAGAATAAATTCTAGCCGTGGCAACAAGAAATATTTGGAAGAGAATAGGTACACCTTCGTACCTATTCTCTTAATTTCTCCCAGGTTCGAGTTCATAAATTTGTCGGCTATAAATAGCAAAACCTAGTGTTAGAATCCATAATTTTTTAACTTCTGTATGAATTATGTCCGCTGTACGTAACGTAATAGAACATAGTAATAATAATAGTTAAACGTACTAATTCAGGCATTTAAACATGCACAAATTATCCTGGACTGCCCGCCCTGTTGATGCGGTCCACAGGCATTATCTCTAACCAGTAACTGTGGTCTGTGGTCTTGACTACAGACCAAATGCCACCACAACAGACATTACAAATGCAACTTTAACAGCAATCGGTCATTAATATTGAATACTCATTATTCTAGAAAAATCAGAAATAAAGAAATGGCAAATAAGTAAAATAAACAGTGATTTAAACTGCAAATAAATGCAATTCGAAACGAACAGATGAAAAAAGCTGTTCAGTAAATTCAATTGTCTGTAATTAATTTGGTTACGTTACTCAAACACTCATTGATTTCACAAGCGATTCAAGCTAAGAGGTACTTAACTTGACGATTTCAAATTTAAGTTTTGGAGCGAAAAATTAAAGTACCTTTTCGGGCGAGAAGAAGTGACAAATTTCTCTTTTTATTAAAAATACGAATGTCCGCGAAGCAAAATTTCGAAACAGAAAACGATTTACGCGTCTAAGGGAAATCCACCGCCACATCACACAAGTTTATAGCATTAATTAACATATACAATTTCGAAATGCCGCAACATACCGGAATTGAAAGAAAATACGATAATTTATACGCTTATTTATGAAATAAATAAACATGTACTAGCAGTCTAGCATGCAGTTCAACATTCATTTTTGCCCACAGCTGCCATAGAATAATAAATAGTTGCAAAATACAATATGTGCTGCATTTCTCTACGTTTAAAATCGATTTATTTATATCAAATAATAACTTTTTTAATTCCAGACCCAACATCAATCACCTAACCTTACTTTGCAAACTCAACTGTGCTTCATATCACTGCACTGTCATCGCAAAAAAAAAATAATAATAATAATGAAAATTTTCTCATGAAAATTAATGCACAAAGAAGATAATTTTTCTTATTCACATGAAGAAGCAATGTTTTTGAAGCAAAAAACATGAAAAAATTCAAAGATAGAAAAAGCAAAAAAAAAAAAAAAGGAGATCGCCTACAATTCAAGGCAACACAGAAATATCATCGTGCAAATCTAAGACAGTTCTTCACAAATAACGATATTATCACGACAAGTTTTCAGCAGACGTGCTTTGGGACACACTTTAATCCGGCTAGCGGCAAGAGGTCATATATACGTGGGTCTTTTTCGCTTTTAAATGCATCCAACTCGCGACACTCAGTTGATAACTTTTATTTAAATTTGACTGTATATGAAACTTAATGCCAATTAATACGCGGGTGACGTGCGAAAAAATTTATGGAGCCAAGAAACCATCATGAGGATTGTGCTCAAAATTCGAGATATTGAGGCAGAATAAGTTTATTAACCGCGTACAGTTAATTGAGCTGAAACGTGAGTTGCAACATACGAATCAGGCCAGAAAAACAGCATAGAAATTTTCATTTGGAAAAAGTTGATATTACGGTATTTTTAGGTATAGAAGAAATACTTTGTTTGAAACGAGCTGCAAATAATTTAGAGTCAAAACTTTCGCTGTATACAAAATATGATACGTACGAAAACTCTAGAATTAACCAGCAGCTATAAATACAAGTAAGAGCTATGGGAAGATAAATAAATTAATTGCAGGTTATTTTGAAGAAGAAATAAAAAGAAAAAACAAGGACAATGTCCCGATTAAATGGAACGTCGCAAATTCGGCCTTGACAAGCAAGCCTCATCGAGACGTTTACTCGACGATCAAGAGAGACACGACAACGGGAAAAGTCAGTAAGATTTAACGAAGCAGGCGAGCGATACAAAAGTAAAGAAAGAATACGTTATAAAGTTGGTGTGTTTAATTAAAGGCGGCGGTCGGCAGGCACGTAAGGCTTGCCGCCATACTTGGCCCACTCCTTCTCAAACTCGTGATCCAAAATCTCGGCGCCGCGTTTGCGGGTGAGGCCTGTTTCTTCGATGCTCAGCTCACACATCTGCATGTCGTCCCGACCTGCGGGGGGTGAGAAGGCGTTAGTGGGGCGTGAGTGGCATGGGGCGTGGTGAGTAGTGAGTGGTGTGGCGATTAATGAGTGGTGTGGTGAGTAGTGAGTGGCATGTAGCGTGGCATGTAGCGTGGCGTGTAGCGTAGCGAGTAATGAGTGGTGTAACGAGTAGTCAGTGGCGTGTGGAGTGACTTGGCGGGTAACATGACGCGTGATGAGTAATGAGTGGCGTGTAGCGTGGCGAGTAATGAGTGGTGTAACAAATACCTAGTGAGTGGCGTGTGGAGTGACTTAGCGGGTAACATGACGCGTGACGGGTAAAATGTGGCGTGGCAAGTCATCTGTAACGTGGCATTTCTGTATTAATGTGGCAAAGGAGAGTAATTCACGCTATATAATATAGAGCCCGAAAAAACGTGCCCAATAATCAAACGTAATACTAGCGTATCATCGATGATGGCGGTAGAAGTGAGGGCAGCAAAACCTCTTAAATAATATTACAGTAATACTTTACTATTAAATAATATTATTACGAGAAGACTAAAATAATTTAGTACAGGTCGCAGGACTCACCAGCCAGCAGGAGGATAGGATGCTTGTCGGGATGAAGTTCCATCTGACGAGCGATCCAGTCGCCGTCAAAGTGCGCGTACCACCTGCAACCAACGCAGCCAGTGAGTTGTTTTCCGGCCAGTTATTTTTGTGTAAGTACTTTTCGTATAAGTCATTTTCATACGAGTAATTATCATACAAGTAATTTTCGTAAAAGTAATTTTCATAAAAGTAATTTTCGTAAAAGTAATTTTCGTAAAAGTAATTCTCGTACAAGTACTTTCCATACAAGTTATTTTGGTATAAGTAATTTTCGTGTAAGTTATTTTAGTAGAAGTAGTTTTTGTGCAAGTTATTTTCGTAAGTACAGCACTGGCCTTTACGACCATTCATCAGCCAAACTGGGTAAAGATAACCCGTACAAGGGTGAAAATTATATCGATCGCTTTTTTAACATTTTTTTGGCTCCCTCATTTCCCTCAGCGCATTGCTGGAACACACACACACTAACCTCAGGTAGAGCCAACAAATAGGAAGTATTTCCATGTCAACTCTAGTTCGAAATGAAGTATAAATAATGAAGTATAAACAGTGAAGTATAAACAATTAGGTATGAACAGTGAAGTATAAATAACGAATTATAAATAATGAAGTATATAATTATTGAAGTATAAACAACGAAATAAGAACAATGAAGTATAAATAGTAGAGAGAATATAGCGTTTGTCCCAGTACACACCAGCCCTTCTGCTGGCTGGAGGCGCCAGGGTCGTCGGTGGGGCGCACGAAGGGGATGCGGAAGTAGCGACTCTTGCCCTGAGCACCTCCCGCCTGCGCTGCTGCTGCCGCGCGGGACGAGGGTGTTGATGCTGGGGGGCATGGCAGGGGTTAGAGTTACGGGAGGGGTTAGGGTGAGGGTCATGCCAGGGGTTAGGGTGAGGCTTGTGAGGCTATGAGGCGTGTGTTTAGGCGCTAGTGTGGTGAGCTAAGGCGCTAGTGTGATGAGCTAAGGCGCTAGTGCGGTGAGTTAAGGCGCTAGTGTGATGAGCTAAGGTGCTAGTGTGATGAGCTAAGGCGCTAGTGTGATGAGCTAAGGCGCTAGTGTGATGAGCTAAGGCGCTAGTGTGATGAGCTAAGGCGCTAGTGTGGTGAGTTAAGGCGCTAGTGTGGTGAGCTAAGGCGCTAAAATAAGGCGATAAGGCGCTTGCGTGACGCAATGATGTCAGCCAACAAGAGATTTCGGGCTATGGTTATCGCTGATATATTCTTCATCAGAGTGATCTCCACTCAAAATGAAACAAAAAACAAACAAATCTCTACTGGGCTATCATACCTATATATTTCGGGCCACTATTCCATTGTATTATTAGGTTTAAGAATGCCATCAATAGCTTTAGTGAAGCGTGATGGGCGTCGCAGGGTTCAAGCAATAGCTTCCACTGAGCAGACGCTGGACGCATGCAACACTGATATAACAATACTATTAACCTCTATAACATTACGTGCATTTATTTTCTAAACGTACATAAAGAAACTAATGGCAAATTAATGTTTGAACGTCTTCTCGACTACAGAAATGGTTTAACCAACGCAAAGGTTGGAAATTTACTTTACATAACAAGCATCGCTTTCAAATAACATCAGAATTGCTTTGTGAATTATATATAAAACAAAAATGTAAATAATTTCACACATTATTGACAAACCAAGTAATAATAGATTTATTTTAAAACATAGTAAAAAATAATATTGACTTTACTTGACGTCACGAAACCCGCGAATATATGA